AATTATTTTCGTTATTTTTTAACGTTTTAGTAACTTCGGAAAACGTATTACAACTTTTGACGCATAGTAGCTAGGTTAATAGTATAAACTACGCTATGTTCTTCTTGATTTGCTATTTTTCTAGCTTTAGTCCGTGGTTCTTGTTTAGTAATGGTGTAAATTAGCAGTTGCATTAAATTAGTTAAGCTTAATTCAATTATTTTTGATCTTAATTGAGGATGAGAATCTTTAATTTTTTTTTCCAAATGGTTTTCTTAAATCACTAATAATAAAAAAAAATATCGGGGTGAGCCATTTCTGAGGGACACCCGGTATACCACCTCACGTCACAGTTCGTGCACAACGCAGGGTTAACCGTGTGGCGCCTTATAGAATTAACCCTACCCGTCTTCACTGAACCGGCCGAGGACCTGCGTTTGTTACAATTGCAAATCGATTGTGTTGTTTTGTTTGTATCACAAAGGATTGTCAGGTCATCTGCGTAGCGAACTGTTTTAAAACGGGCTAGGTACATTTTTATACTTTTCATTCGATCTTATCTTGAGGAGAATTATGAAAAACCGATTTTTTTTATATAAAGCAGCCAGTGTAGCACTAAATGGGTTAAATTGTGAGAAAACATTTTGGAAAAGTTTCAGTAGAAATTTTGGGTTTTTGGCTATTACGATTTGTTTCGGAAATTACGGCAGAAGTGAAAAACTAATATTTGCTAAGAATTAAAATACGAACAACTTTTATTAACAACATCTTGTGATTAAACGAAATTTTAATTTCCCTTACGTACGCTAACTTTTTTTCTCTGTTAGTACATTCGACTCGGACGTTCCATTTCTATTGCTGCAGTTATAGATTAGCCCATTAATAATTGACTTTACGACCGCCATAATTGATTATATAATAATGTTTGTTTTCCCTACATTGCCCTCCACGAAGTCTCATCAATACAGCGATAGATTTCTGAATCCACGCTGTTCCTTTATTTCGCCCCCAATCAAAATGTTAAAAACATTCGGTTATTACCTGTTCGAAGAAAAGTTTCGCGAATGTCTGGGTTGGCCCACCTCTCGAGGACTTCGAGGATTCGGCCCAACAATTGTAATTTTAGTCAATATTGTTTGGGGAATTTATCCATTCATAATTGAAATTAAAAGTAAGTGATTACTAAATATATTATTTCTCGTAATTTTTTTGTTTTTTGTAATTTTCAGATTATCAAGTTAATTTTGGACCATGTTTGGTTCACACTGAGTATTTCTTCGCGGGTCTACTACTTATGTGCAATAACCTTCAATTATTACGGAATCGTGATGGATTATTCAAAATGATTGATTTATTCAGTGATTTTAGTTACTTTGGTAAACCGAAACTGAATCAATTTTTCGAAAAAAATCACAAAATTTTATTTATATTGATTCGTTATGTAGCATTTCTTGCAGCGCATTTCATTGTACTAACCTTAATTGTGCTAGATGATGACTGTATTGCTTGTAAAAGTACTAAATATTGTTCAATAATCCCATATTACGTCCCATTTGATGCAAAACGGTGGCAAATAACATTGATAATGTTATTTCAAGTATATACTACTAGTGTGGCTTTAAATGTTTTGTTCTCTATACTGTTGTTATATTACTATTCGCTGGAATTAATAGTTGCGCGTATTAAACACCTTAACGAGATTATTGGCGAAGTAAATTTAAGTGGGAATAAGAAAGACAACTTTAATGCTTTACGAGATATAGTGTTATATCAGCAACACATATTCAAGTACTAATTAACATTATTAATTTGCACAATATAATAATCTAATAAGCATTTATTTTAGGATGTTCCAACTCGCTTACAATTTGTTTGCAAGCCTTTTTGTACCATCAAAAATTTTGATTGGAGCTTGTTTATCGATATCCTGCACTGATTTCTTCTTGGTTTGTATTATTAAATATTACATACATCATTTAATTAGCGCAAAATTTCGGAGGAAGAATGCAACAAGTTTTTTCAGCATTATATTCAGCTTCTCAGGCATATTTCTAATTTACACAATAGGACAAAGACTCACCACAGCGGTTTGTGTAATTAATTCTTACTCTTTTGGTCTTTATCTATATGAAAGTTTTTACCTTGTTTTATGGTAGAGTAATAAAGTTGAGGAGGCAATTTGTAATTTAAACTGGTATGAAGCCGACGTTTCAACGCGAAAGTACATTTGGTTTTTGCTCTTTATCGGCCAAAAAGAACTCAAAATTGAGTTGCCGTTGTTTGGGGCATTATCGAATAGGGCTGCAGCAAATGTAAGTAAAACGACTCAATAAATACAAATATACTGAATAATAGTTTTAAAGGAATACAAGAAGGTTTATATATTCATTAATTGGATGTTGAAAATTACGACAAAGAAAAACTTTAAACTTTAAGAAATCATACTGACTTTGTTTATAGGAATTAAGAAACAATTGTGATCTTTAATTAAAGCTTAAACTTTTATCTTTAAGTCTATGTATAATAAGTAATACCTTTGATGATAAAGTTTGCTTTTAAAATCGAAAAATGTCAATGATTACTTATGGGAAGATACGTAACTGTTTGTTAAACTTTAAAAAATCAAACCGATTTTATTTGTAGGAGTATAAGAAACGATTTTTATCTTAAATTAAAGGTTAAATTTTAACGATTTAAAGTTAATTTTAACGTTTTAAAGGTTAAATTAGTTAAGTTAACAAAACAAAATATTACGCATAGCAGTAGATTCCAAGTAGTATATCTTTAATGATCAAGTACACAGCGAATTAAAAGTTGATAGTATCATAGCCTTTATATCAACAATGACTTCCCGGTATCACGAACGAATACAATACACAGAAGTACTACAGCCATACAACCTCAGCAAAAAAACATCCACTGTCGTCTTAAAAGGAAACTACCACAAGACCTCTACTTGAATTAAAAATACGTTAAATGTTACTATTCAATTTGACTTATGTTTATTATTTTATAAGTGACGAGGTCCTTTTAGTTATGTAATTTGAAATTTATTTAGTATAAGAAAAAGCCTTGTATAGTAACGTTAATTTACTGGTCTGGCAATAAAAATACTTAAAAAAACGACATCTTTCTCATATTTGAAACAAATATATTTGTTGACCTATTTAATTTATAATTGTTTTCCCTAAATTTTGGAATAAATTTCATTATTTCACATTTTTTATTAACATTTAATATTATTATTAAATGAATTAATAAATTAGTATTAGATGGCGCTCATATATTTTTTATGAATTCAAATGAACACAGCAACATTTCTTTGTATTCAAAAATTTTCTGAAGTGTCTAATTAAAAATCGTGTTTTTTAAGATGAATTACGAAAATTACGAACAGTTTAACATGTTAGAATGTTACATATTAGCAAATAACAGTAATAAATTGACTGCAGAGTTTATTTTAACGTCGCATAACGTCACCAAATCACATTTTGGACATATTTTGATTTTTAGCTCTGACGGGCTCCAATATGACATTTAGCATATAAAAATTTCAAACATGGCTCAAAACGTCGTATATCGTCAAGAAATCACAATTTGGGCACATTTTGATTTTTAGTTCTAACAGGTTCCAATATGACATTTATCATAGGGAAATTTCAAACATGGCTCAAAACGTCGTATAACGTCATAATATCACGTTTTGGGCACATTTTGTTTTTTATCTCCAACATGCTCCAANTGTAGTTTTCCAATATGGCCATATCCGCTAAAAAATCTATGCGTTTATAACGATATATTTAACCCAATAACCCTGGACACATAGTAAGATGAGCGACAATTTTTAATTGCGCAAGAAATAGGCATCTAAAATTATAAATGTATGTCATTTTTTAATAAATAGTTATAAAGCAAAAGAACCAATAATAAGACAAATAATAATTAATTACACCCGCGGGGGAGCTGGACCCCCACCGGGCGCGTCCCCAGGTGGCGGATAGGGGAACGCTCGCTTCGGCGAGTATCGGGTTAACTCGACGCGGACCAACCAGCCTGACTTCTATAGTCTGTTTTTTTGCCAGGACCGGCACGGCACCGGCTTGTTACGTCTCTTGTTCTTCGTCTTTTTTTCGTTTTTATGTGATTGGCACGTATTTTGGAAACCCTGGGAGTGCTGACGAAGCCTCCGGTGTCTCGGCCGGGGGTGGAGGAGGCTGATGTGAGCTTGCTCTGCCGAGGGGGGACTGGGTACGTGTCAGAGGCCAGCCACTTCGGGCCCTGATCAGGTAGTGTAGAATGGATGCGGAGGTCGGAATTCGCATTGCCCCGAACGAGTATCGATTCGTCCGTGTTTATCCGGAATCGATAAAATGAGCCCCGGGGAACTGGGGCAGGTTTCTTTAACCGAGGGTATACCCGTTCCCAACCATTCTCAGCCCGTTCCTTTCTACACGAAGCGCTGGTGAACCCAATAGAATGGAAAATCCTACGAGAAAACCCATTCAAGAGGCGCCCGCCTCTAAAAAAACGGGCAACTTGACGAACTCGGAAAAGGAGGTCACTCCCCGGTTCCTTGTCGTCAAGGTTTTGAATGGCTTGTCTTTTGACAAACTAAGTCCCTTTATCCTACAGAAACAATTATACGGTTTGTATGGAGATTTTAAATCTATTAAGAAAACCAGAGAAGGTTTGTTGCTTGAAACCGTGTCTGCGGCACAAGCCAAAAGAGTCATGGCCAGCGGGCGAATAGGAGATATTGATGTGGAGGTTAACCCTCATAGAGCCTTGAATACCTCGAAAGGCATTGTTTACTGTCCTGATTTGTTGAATTGCTCCGTGGAAGAAATCCAGATGGAACTGAGGTCACAAAGAGTAATAGAGGTGAGGAGAATCAAATCTAAGAGAGAGGGTGTTCTCAGTGACACCCCAATCATATACTGACGTTTAATAGCCCTATTTTGCCGAAAAAAGTCAAGGCCGCTTATTACTCATTGGATGTCAGGCTATACATACCTGCTCCAATGAGATGCTTTAAGTGTCAACGATATGGTCACACATCCCTTCGATGTGAGGCCGTACAAATTTGTGTATGCGGGAAAGCTATCCATGTGGGACGACCTTGCGAGGATCCCCTCGTTTGTGTTAATTGCGGTGGACCGCATTCAGCTCGGTCCAGATCCTGCCCCGTCTTCAAAAAAGAAGCGGCGATACAAGAAATAAGGACGAAGGATAAATTATCGTACGTTGAGGCAAAACGAAAGCTACAACAAACGACAGTACGCACGCCCACTCAGGGAGTGTCGTATTCGTCTGCAACCGCTTCTATGCCCAAGTATGATAGTCTGATTAAAGACCTAATACCCGCGATTGTAGCCGCCATCAAGCCGCTAATCAAATCGGAAGTAAAGGCGAAGGTTCAACCCTCGACCAGCACTTCCGGAAATCTAGGTGTGTTTAAAATTCCCCTGCCGGTAGATCTCACCGACAACGTAGAAACCTCAAGTCAGTTCTCCCATACGGAGTCTGAAAAGAGGAAACGTGAAGGAGCGTTAAGCTCCTCGACTGACGACTTGTCGGAAAACTCTACCGACAATACCCGCAAAAAGAAGAAGGGATGGCAGAAGGGAAGGCCTCGTAACGTTACGACGCCCCCTAACGCAACCGCAGGTGGTGGCACACAGCCACCGCCTAGACAACCCCCAGGCGGGTCTATGCCGATGAAAGCGTCACCGACGCCGTCGCGCCGATCGTCCGTAGGGGGTCCTCCGTCAGCTTCTCCTGCAAAAGAAAGTTGATTATTTTAATATAGATATTATTTACATAAATGTCTGTTTTTGTCTTTTATTTATTTATTATAGAACATTTATTTATCTACATGTTTGTCCGTCCGTTTACACTTTTATTTTATTTATTTATCATAGAGCTTTTATTTACATACCTGTTTGTCTGTCCGTTTAAATTTCTATTTTATTTATTTACTATAGAGTTTTATTTATTTTCCTGTTTGTCCGTCTTTTTACATTTTATTTTATTTTACCTATTTATTAGTATAGCTTTATTTATACACTTATTTATTTACTTATTTATTCTCATAGTTTATTTACACTTGTTTGTTATTTATTTGTTTATACGTCTCAGTCATCTGGTTCAAAATCAAATCAAATCCTTTAAAATTCGATAAATCCACTACCAACATCATTCAGTGGAACTGTAACGGATTGGTTCGACATTATTGCGAACTAAAGTCCCTAATGAACCAGTTTGACCCTTTGTGTGTTTGTCTTCAAGAGACTCACTTAGC